TATATATATATATATATTCATATATATTCATTCTGACAATATCTGAAAATTAACTATAATATTGACATTTGGTAGAGCCAAATTAGGATCAGAAATTTTACATTTATTCATGTTTTGTCTCCACCAGCTTCAACAGTATATCTTCAGCATGCATTATCGGGATTTGTATCTACTGTACAGATGAATCTAAGCTGAAACTGTCATTGAGGAGATGATTTCTGTGTCCTACATGTGAGATGTGACGTCACTAACCGATGCTTCATAAAGCTTTTCTGTTGCTCTGACACACATAAGAGTTCACTCTGTCAGGATGTGACATGACCTCTTAGACTTAATTTTCAGCTCTCGGTGGTGTCTCATAATCACGATGTCAGCTTTGCTCATTTTCACTTCCTTGGGAAATTTTCTAATAAAGGCTAGATGAGATTCTGACTTGGAAATGAGGTCACTGACAGTCTTGTAAAATACAGCAAAAAATAAAAACAGCATCAAAATACTATATTTTAAAAAAATCACCACGCACACACACTAATTACATTAAAACTACATAAAGTTCCACAATTATCTACATCTTCTATCAGTTATCTGTAGTCCAGTAGCAGGGGCAACAGGTCCAGAGAAACCCAGACATCTCTCACTTCTCTCTCATATTTATATAGAAGTTTTCCTGCAAATGTTGTCAAATTGCAAGCTTCTTTTAATTGTTACTTTTACAACAAAATAAGACAAAACATAATTCAGCTTCTTCCAATTAAATCCATGATTTTTTTCTTTTTAATTATGTGCTGACATTTATAGGATGTTTTTTTTACTCTTTTCTTACAAGCGTGTGTAAATGTCTCATATCTTTTTAATTAAAATTGACTTATGTCTTATCATTCTCATCTTAGTAATAACCTGCTTCCTATGCTCTATTCATGTCTTCTAATCGTGATTCAGGCAGTAAAAACTTTTTATTTGCACATGCGTGACCCCTCGTCTGTAGGCAGCCACTGTGTCAATAAATTTTAGTAAATGCCAAGACTCTTATCTTGAATATTAATTATCTCATTTCCTGCTTAATGCTGTTTTAGCCCATTGCATGCATGCTTTTGAATTAACCCTGCAAAGTGCTGAATAGAACTGGAAAAGGATTTGGAAACAAACGGTTCAGCTGTTTTAAACATTTAAATTTAGAAACAAGTTTAGCTTGTCTTATTCAGTTTAGGTTTAGTTTAGCCTATCTAGCTTTGTATAGCTTGGTTTTTCCTTAGTTTAGATTTAGTTTAGCCCAACTTATTGTAGCTCAGTATTGCCTAGTTTTGGCTTAGTTTAGCCCAGCCTATTTTAGATTTGTATCACTTAGTTTAGATGTAGTTTACCCAAGCTTATTCTAGCTTTGTACAGCTTAGTTTCAGTTTAGGTTTCTGTGTGTTCATTCAACGTTCACAAATCTGAGCAAACGTAGGCCTGCGTGGCAAATAAATCCAGTCTTTTCTTCAAGTTTGTCCTTATATTCAAAGTCTTTCACCAAATCTTCACAAAACATACTGCCATTCAAGTCCACTCGTTTTATTTTTGTTTGATGTGAGGTTTAGTTAGAAATATATAGGCTGTGGTTCAAACATGATGATGCGCAGTATTTAATGAAAAGCAGCCGTGTGCGTTTTTGCGGTTTCGGCTGCAGACGGAGACTCTTGAGCCAGACTGAGATGGAAAACGGTCTGATAAAACCGACTGCTTCCTGGAGTCTGGTACACAAAAGGAAGGGCAGGGACATGAAGGCAGAGGGGAGGGGACAATATACGACTGCTGCAGCCAGTCACTTCCACAATCCCTCTTCTGACAGACCTTTTTTCCCCCCACAGACTGATTGTTTCCAGACACAGCCCAGTACCCGGCCCTCCCTCCTGCCTGCCTTCCATCGTTTGGGGTGTGGGTGTATGTGTTGGGGTGGGAGGGTTGGAGGGGGCTGATGCTCGGCGCCACTGGGGGATCTGGAGGACAAAACGTGGATGAACTAACTCACAACCCCCATTCCATGAACCCCCCCCCCCACACACACACACACACACACACACACACACCCCAACCCGCACATCTCAACTAAGATCTCTACATCAGCCCCTCCATCTCAAATACCCTGCAGCGCCTCTGTCACATTAACATACTGCTGACTGCACCTCCTCCCCAGGTCTCCTGTCTGTCCAGGCAGGGAACTTTATTCTGCACTGAGGAGGAGACATATTGTAGGAAAACATGTTTTATTTAGAATACCCAGAATTCTTGCTCATACATCTCAATGAAACTGAGAAACCATTAAAGGTTTCCTCAACAATTCATTCATGCTTCCTGAAATCAAGAACAAAAGAAGCAGAAGATAGACACAAGAAATATAAAAACAAGTTGGTTTGGATTATGAGAAAACACAAGAAGGACTATTATAGTGAATTATTAGGCAAAAGTAATGGTAATATGAGGGAAACATGGCGAATAATGAATAGGGTTTTGAAAAAAATCACAAAATAAAAATCCAGTACTCCACAGTATTTTGTAAAGGATGGTAATGAAATTTACGACCAGAATGAAACTGTGGATGGATTTAACAATTATTTTGTAAATGTTGTCCCAAGTCTTGCAGCAAAAATACCAAAAGTAGATAAAATTGTGAGTCACACAGTTATGGATTGTACAAACAGTATTTTTCTTGTTGAAACTGACAAAGAAGAAATATTGAGTTTGGTAAAAAAAAAAATCTTGCTGACAAAAGATCAAAAGACTGGGTGGACATGGACATGATGCTTGTAAAAGATATAATGAATTATATTACATCTGTAATTTATCATTTTCAACAGGTACATTTCCTGACAATATGAAAACAGAGGTAATTCCTCTTTTTAAAAATGATGAGAAACATGTGTTCAAAAATTACAGACCAATATCCTTGTTACCACAGTTTTCTAAAATTTTAGAGAAATCATTTGTCACCAGATTGGATCAATTTATCGAAAAGAACAATATCTTTTTCTTTTCATTTTCCATGTCCTGGTTGACCGGGAATCTGCAGAAATATTGTATGATTGTAATGTCCAACTCTGGCCGTGAACCGTATCGATTCTAAAGGTCGATACTTCCAGCACATCGTTCCAAAAATAAAATGCTTCACCTGGGCATCCCAGTCAAAGGCAGGTTTGGATTTAAACACTGAACTAAACAAGCACGTCAGATAATTATTTAATCAGCTCTGAATGGACAACTTCAGAATCGATATGCTACGAGTGGCATGTTTAGCTTATTCTGTAAACAAACAGCGAGCTGAATGTGACATCAGGTCTTTTCTGCACATACAGGTCAGTGCCATGTGGAGTTCACACCAGAGTCTGATGGAAGTCACATTTAAAATGTGTGAAAATTCATGAAAAAAGTAGATTTTTTTCAAAAAATCAGAATTAAGCATGAAGACCTGCAGTGTTAACATAGCCACAGCTACATCGAGAACAGGTAAGATATTAACTCTTCATAATGGTTACACTTGAGCAAATACATCAGCTGTTAAACGCATCACAGAAAGATGTTAGATTTATAAATAATTGTTGATTTATTTGTCTTTAAATGTGGAAGTTCTTGAAATATGAATTTAAACTGAAATCCCACTGATAAAAAGGGGATATAGCTATTTGAGAGGAGCTGTTTGTCTAATGAAAGATTTCATCTTTACTGTGGTTTTTTTTTTAACTGATCAAATTTCCTGCTGGATGTTTTTAAATAAATAAATAAATGTATAAATAAATAAATAAATAAATAAATAAATAAATAAATAAATTTCTGTTCCCCTGTCCCACCTATAAATAAATAATTTAAAAAATGTCCAAAAGGGGGCAGCAGCGCGTTCCCATCTGCGTTTCAGACACGATATAGGGTTAATTTGTCCCTGGGTTCAGCCTGACAGGCGCATTTATTATTTAATTTCAAAGCCAGGAGGGAAGTTAGTTATTACATTTTTATGTCGCTTTTTCAACCAGCACACCTACCCCACACAAGCAGCATGACGTGTACAGTGTGGAATACACAAAAAAAAAATTTAATTCCATAATACTACTGAG